CAGGCTGGCCTTGAACCTCTGCCCCTGGGCCTGTAGGATGGCAGAATATTATCACAGAGAGGGAATATAAAGAAAAGCCGTTTTCGCCTCATGGCTTCCAGGACACAGGGAGAAGAGACAGGAAGGGACCAGCGCGAGATAGAACATGCCCCCAATGACCTACTTCTTCCAATTAGGTCCCACCTCCCAAAGTTTCTACTGCTTCCCAAAATAGCATCATAAGCTAGGGACCAAGCCTCAGGGAACATTTCATACCCAAACCATAGCAGAGACAACAGCATTGTAACTTATTCAAGGTAAGTTCTGAGTGTACTCTTACATTGTGTGGGGACATTGCCACATAGATTCATGTCTTGATGACTCTATGAATAGGACCACCACCTAGAATGGCTGTCTCCCATGTCTTTGGTTATAGTGGTGGCTTAATCCAATATGCACAATTTGGAGGCAATCCTCCTGGCCCTCTCAGCTTTAGATTTGTTCATCCATGGTGCAGACCACAGATGATCAAACAGGCCAGGTTTGCAAATCTGACAATACTGACACACCAGTTGAGAGCTTGGAGAAGCAGCAATTGTTGGACCGAATAAATTAGCCTGTGTTTCTTCTCACCTGCCTTCCCACAGCCAATAGGGAGGTGGAGAGGGTGTGACGCTTGCTGGCTTCAAGAGGCTCCTGCTTTTGAGCGTGGGTGAGCCCTGAGTCCACCTTAGAACTCAGTCATCTCCTGACTATTTCCTGCCCAAACTACAAGCCAGCAGTGGAGGCATTGGGCTGAGTTCAGCCGTAAACACTACTCTAACAACCTATTATTGCTCAAACCACCTGAGGACACTCACTGCCGGCACTCCTGCATGAGCTAGGGCTTTCTGTGCCTAGTAACTGAAAGCCCAATTTAGATGGACTCAGACAACAGTATTTTGGCTAATAGTCCCACTGGGGGTTCTCAAGTTTAAGCACTAAAAATTGATTCTGACTGATTAAGGGCACTACCAATTTGTCAAAAGGATAGTCCAAAGGCTGGGCAGAAAGGACACAGCCCAATCTCTCCAGAGAAGCAATCTGGTAAGCACAGTGCTGATGGACAGGGGTACTGTCTGATGTCCCTTGATATGGGTACCAATAGCCATTCCCCACAAGAGCACTACTGCAGTCATGGCTGCTGCCCCACCAAGAGGAATCCCGACTTCTTGGCTGCTCCATTTCACTAGCCCTGTCCGGGGAGGGAGGGTCTGATGGCCAAGCAGATAGGAGTACCTGTGACCTGGTAGGAAAACAACCTAGGACTGGGACTACCCCGGAAGTTTCTACACTAGGAAACATCTCTACCTTAGGGAAAAGCAAGTGGTAAGGGCATCGTCAAACCTGGTGAGGTAAGCAGGTCCAGGCCTCACATCTGCACCCCACAGAGAGACTTGTGCAACCAACTCCCTCACCATCTGGGGAGATCTTGTTTCCAGAGGTCTTTGTTCACTGGGAGTTAAATAGTAACTGGCTTAAACGGTGAACTTGAAAGTTTGCCAAAGCAGAACTTTACGGATTCAGTGTCTACTTCACAGGTTGTTAATGGTCAATTCAATGACCTGTGCTTCATTCCAGAGCTCTAGGGGAAGAAGTTCCAGTCCTCTGACAGTAAGCCACTGTGACTGGAGAGTGGACCTGCTTGCTCTGTTGGTATGGCAGAGGTGATTGAAAGCCAAATCCTCCAATTCCTTGTATCCACTCCCTCTGCAATGGGACTCTGTGCTCTGTCTCCCTCATGAGTGGGTCCTCTGACTGGGTTTGGCCATGTAATTTTGCTTTGCCCAACAGTGCAAGATAGAATACTCGATAATTCAAAGCCCAGGTCAATGAGGACCTGGTGATCAATTTCCCAACCCTTGAACTATATATTTTATTGCCATGCACTGGTGAGATTTTAAGGGATTTTGTTCATAGAGAATGTTCATTTGCTGGGCATGGTTGTTTACACCTTTAATCCTAGGCAGATCTCTGTGAGTTCAAGGCCAGCCAGGTCTGCAAAGCAAGTTCCAGCCCAGAAAACCTGTCTCAAACAAAACAAAATATTTAGCCTATCTTAAAACTATTATATATTTATTTATCATGTGTGTGAGAATATAGTATACTGTTTGAACACATCTGCAAGTACACACTCCCATCGTGGGTATGGATGCCAAAGGAGAATGTCCAATCAATCACTTTCTGCCTTACTCCCTTGAGACAGGGTCTCTTCGTGAACCTGAAGCTACAGTGATCCTCACATTTCTATCTCACCACAGTGCTGAGGTTGCAGGCATATGGGCTATCCCACACAGGTTTTTATGTGGGTGCTTGGAATTTGAACACCAGTTCTCATGTAATGAGCACTCTTATCCAGTGAGCCATCTCTGTAGTTTTTGGAAAGTATTTTTATTAGTTCTTCTATGAATTTAAGTTAAGAAATAAAAACTGGGCTAGGCCTGGTAATGTGAACTTATTGTTGTGGGATATTAGCTTAAGGGATGTTACCTTCATTTATGGTGTAGAATACTTGTTTAATGATGCAAAGATGTGTTGCACTTGTTTAACTCTGTAAAGCTGTGTTATTGGACCTTCCTAAAACACCTTCTTGGTCTACTAAAGAGCTAAACAGCCAATAGCTAGTCAGGTGGGAGGGACAGGCAGAGTGAATAAATAGGAGGAGAAATCTAGGCTTGAAAGAAGGGTAAGGATCAAGAAAAGGAAGAGTACACCAAGGGCCAGTCACCCAGTCACACAATCAGCCATGGAGTAAGAAGGGAAGAAAGATTACCCAATAAAGAAAGGTAAAAAGCCAAGAAGCCAAATGTTGAAGAAGAGAAATGGGTTGATTTAAGTTAGAAAAGCTAGCTAGAAACAAGCCAAGCTAAGATCAGGCATTCATAAGTAAGAATAAGTCTCTGTGTGTTTATTTGTGAGCTGGGTGGCGCCCCGCACCAGCCAAAAATATTCAACTATAACCTGTAATCCTAGCTGCTCAGAAAGCTGTAGCAGGAAGATAGCAAGTTCACAGCTTAAAGACCGCAAGTTCAAAACGTGCCTGAGCTGTAAAATGAGTTCAAAGTCAGCCTAGGAAACTTAGTGAAATAAGACTAGGGGTGTAGCTCAGTGTATTAAAAGAAATAAGGAAGGGAAGGAAAGGCAAAATTGGGATATCAGCAAGATGACATTTTTCTAGCCTCAGAAGAGTCATCAGTTATCAGTTCTGGCAACTACCCAAGAACAAGGGGCTACAAAGCTCCTCATAACTATTACGAGAGTGCTGTAGTTCAGATTTTGAATGGCCTTCAAAGTTCATATGTTAAAGGCTTAGTCCCCAGCTTCGTACTCTTGAGGGATAGTAAAAACTTTGTGGTGAGAGGGCTTCTGGTTCACGGGGCTGAGCCCGCAAAGGAGAGAGTGTTCAAATGTGTTTCCGTGGAAAACACGACTAGTTCTTGTGTTCCTCTAACTGCTCTGTGCTGGCACTCATCTGAAGATTGGGGCATCAACAGACAAACCTGGCCCTTGCTGGAGAGGCATTGATCATCTTACTGGAGTGGGTTGCAGGGGATGAACAGGTGAATGAGTAAACCAAGATGACAATTCCAAGTAGTGATTAAAAACTGGAGAACATAAGGGACGCCCCCACCCCAAATCCAAGCCTGGTGTTGCACCAAAAACAAGAAAGAGATGTACAGATCTACAAATCAATGCAAATCTAGGCAAAAGCCACAAAAAAAAATCCCTGGGACTGAGGAGGGACAGCTGTGGCTTGCTGTGGACCAAGGGTAGGCAAAGCAGAGGAAGCCACTGTTGGTCGCAGTGGAGGCAGGGTTGTAACTATTCTCCTTTCCTGACCACTGTCTCTGGTAGATCACTGCCTGGCACCCCCTGGAGGTGACATATCTGTTAGACAGAAGCGCTGAGGTGACATGGGGTAACAGTGCTTGTGTGAACTAGCCTGGTAACAGTTGTGGCATCTGGAGTCTGAACTACTAAACCCACTGCCTTCCCACAGCCTAAAGACTAGGGACTGCTGACAGGGACAAGGGCAACAGGTAGCTGACAGGCAGAAGGTGGCAGTGACTCCCTGTGGGGCAAGTACACTGAGCCTGCATTTCTTCATCTGTAAAAGTGAGGGTTATGCCTCCTCACTGGGTTGTGGGGACTCCTTAGAATGCGTGTGGGTTTGACCCTCTGTACTGGATGAACATATCCAGTCCATCCTCAAACAAGTCTCTAAAGGATAGAATGAACATCCCCACCATGGAGCTGCCATGAAACCGGGCAGTTGGACGCATCTCAGGAGAATGGGTGAAGTTCACACTACAAAACAGTAGGGGTCAGGTACATATGTGTGTGACAAATGTACCGGGATCTTTAAACCCATAGTGGAATGCACCCATAGCGACCAGAAGGAAGTCCCTCTCTGGGCTTAAGGTAAGCTGCCTTGTGATAGGGAAGCAGGGAATGAGCTCCAAGTAGCTTGACAATGGAGGTTCCAGACCGCCAATTCCCACTCCCCAGAGACAGAAACATCAGTGGATGCAGGCTTGGCACCCCAGACTGGATAGCAGAGTGATCTGTGTCCGGGCTTATACCAGCCGTCTCCACTGTGGCCTAACTTGACATTTGTGGTGGTTCGAGTGAGACTGGCCCCTGGGGCTCATATGCTTGAATGCTTTGACCTCAGTCAGTGGAACTGTTTGGGGAGGATTAGGAGGTGTGGCCTTCTTGGAGGATGTGAGTTACTGGGGGCAGGCTTTGAGTTTTCAAAAGACTTCTGCCATTTCAAATGTGCTCTCTGCTTCCTGCTTGGGGTTTGAGATGTGAGCTTTCAGCCCTGTTCCATTGCTATGCCTGCCCCTTGCTGCCACAACGCCCTGCCATAGTGGACTCTGCTCCCTCTGTAACTCTAAGCCCAAAGTCAACCCTTTCTTCTGTAATTTGCCTTGGTTATGGTGTATTATCACAGAAACAGAAAAATAGTTAATACTCACTCTGCTTCCAAGGCTTCTTAGACTCTTCCCTGGGATCCCCTTCCCTTCTGAGCCTCTGCCATTTGGGCTCTGGGATCCTGTACTCTTTCCCAGACACCAGCCAATCTTCTTCAAAAGCACATTTGATGGATCAAAGGCACAAAAGCCCAGCCTTCATTCTATCCTTGGGTGTCAGTTGGCATGACTGCCAAGTGCAGACCTGTCCTTTCTGAAACAGAGACAAAGGGCAGTAGCAAGCTGGTTGTCACTTGAGATGCTTGAGGGTCCTGGACTATCTTGATTCCCATCTCTCCCTGTGCTCAGAGAAGGTCAAACCTACAGTGCCCCATAACATGAGTTAGTTCACATACACATGTATGTTTCTTTTTTCCTTTTTTTTTTTTTGAGACAGGGTTTCTCTGTAGCTTTGGAGGCTGTCCTGGAACTCACTCTGTAGACCAGGCTGGCCTCGAACTCACAGAGATCCGCCTGCCTCTGCCTCCCGAGTGCTGGGATTAAAGGCGTGCGCCACCAACACCCGGCTACATGTATGTTTCAAAGTGCTGCTTTCTGTGGTAAAACTTTCAACTAGAATTTATCTGTCTCAAAATAATCAGCACCATTTTTTATTCACAAATAATTTTCTCACCAGTACTGTGGATCATAATAGTATATTTCTTACAGTATATACTGTGTGTTTGAGAGAGTGGGGGTGCTCAGGTGTGTGGGGGTGCAGATGCTGATGCTACTAGTGCATGCAGGGAACAGAATGTCATCAAGGATCATCCACCTTGTTTTTAGGGCCTCTCACTAGAACCCAAGACTTGCCAGTTAGGTTAGACTGGCTGGCCAGTGAGGTACAGAAATCCCCACCTCTGGCTCTCTAGTGCTGGGATTATAAGTGCATGCACCATGACCAACTCTTCACGCAGCTGTTGGGGATCAAACAGTCCTCATACTTGCCCAGCAAGCTTTTTACTGATGAAGACATCTCCCTAGCCTCATGATAATATTTCTTAAGTGTTATATGCAAGATTCTGACTTCTCCCATCTTAAAATCTACAACAACCATATGAAGTATGTGCTATCCCATTCTCAACAAAAGAGACACTGGAATCTTAAAGGATCCGATTGTTTTCCAGATGTTATTATTATAGTGTGGTACACATGCCACAGAATGGGTACAGTCAGAGGAAGATTTTGCTGCAACAGTTGTCTCCTCCCACCTGAACACGGGTTCTCTGCCTCACTGCGGATAAAGTTCATCTTAGTACAAAGTCACTTATGAAACTTATGAACCTGAGAACAGCATTAGAAGCAGCTGCTGTGTCATCTGCCCCCAGTGAGTGCCAGACTAAGTAGTGAGTAGGGGCAGAAGGATGCATTCCTACTTCCTGAAGCCTCCCAAGTGTTATCAAGCCGGCATACTTCACATGGTCCCACCGCATCTTGTACCTTATGACAGGGGGACCCCTGGGTGGGCACAAGGCAGTGCCACCAGGAGCAGCTGGCACTGGCCGGGCTGCCTGAGCAGGGAGAAGTCTGCAGCAGCATGACTGCTGTAGCTGTGGAGTTCTGAGAGCTCCTGTAGCAATGAGCAAAGTGTCCTGCCAAAGGCTGAAAGGTGATCGTCCTTGAAGATCAGCTTAGCACTGAGTAGGATCGATGAACTCAGACTGGCAGGACATTCTCACCTGTGTCTAATGCTCACATGGGAGGTTTCTCTTGGTTGTATGTTTAGAAGTGTGATGCCTGGTCATTGGGAAAGCCCATTTTAACTTCACCGGCTTTATCGGAATTACAGTTGTAACAATAGCTTCAGGGAGTTACTGGTTACTGATCCCATCTAATTTTCTTTCCTCAAAAGGTCCGTCGAAGAATAGCCGGATGGCTCAGCCAGTAAAGGTACCTACCTAACCTGCATTTGATCCCCATATAGAAGGATAGAACCAACTCCCACAAGTTGTCTGCTGACCTCCACATTCACACGTGCAGTGGCATGCACATGCCTTCATACACACAAATAAATATAAACAAATAATGAATTTTTTAAAAGTTCACCAGAGACCCATGTGTCGATCTATAAATTCATCCTGAGGATGGTGGAATAACAAAATATTCCCATTACAATTTCCTCCTTATTAAAGTGATAATTGGCATCTGCTGCCAAATTCACAGGAAAGCCCAAAGTAAGAATTTAATGCTTTGAGGCATTTGGACTCAGAGAGAGACGCTAATATTTAAATCCACATCCATTTAAACCCAGAATTGTCATTGTTCCCAGGAGAGTGCACAGGCTGTGTTCGACCCTCATTCTCAATTCTCTTTGCCACCGTGCCTCCCTCACTCTATGTGCACACAGGCCTTCTTACCCACCCCAACCCCACGGACTCACATGTCCGAATCTGCACCCACCTAGCAGGGAAGCAGTGTGCGCTCTCATTTCATAATCCATGGAAAGTAACACTGGGCAAGTCCTTATCACACATCAAGATCTGGGTACCCACTGGGTGATGGTGATGTTCCCATGGAAGCCTGTGACTACCTAGGCTATGTTCATGTGGCTTCAACTTATAGTTTCAATACTATTCTCTGTTAAGAGAAGCTTTTCTTTTGCTAGCCGCTTTGGTTTATCCCCCGCCAGTCGCCTGGGCTCTGCCGCGCCAGCCTGGTTCTAGATCCGCATCAGTCCCAAATAAACACACAGGAGGCTATATTAATTATGAAGCTGTTGGCCTTGCTTGTTTGTTACTGGCTAGCTCTGACTTAAGTAATTACCCCATAATTGTTAATCTGAGTATGTTTCTTACCGGAGAATAGTTTCCGGCTTCCTACCCCATGCGGTTACATCTCGAACTCTCTTGTCTTTCTCTTTCCCAGAATCCTCCTCGACTCCTAGTCCCTCCTATCTAGGTTTTCTATAGGCTCAACAGTACTTTATTGACAAATAACAGGACTTCCCCAACATCTCCTCTTTTCTGTTTAAACAAAAGAAAGGTCTTAATTTTAACATAGTCAAATTGTATATAACAGAACAGTTATCAAATAAGAACATAGTTACAATATTTTAGCAAGATTTAAAGAAAATATCATCTACCTCTTTCTTGTGAATCCAAAGTCCTATATGTAGCTTATCTCTTATCATAACTAAGGTAAACTATAATTATAGCTATCTGTCTTCAACTCTATTAAAGACCACAGAAGGATAATATATAAACACTAGGCACCCAAGTTCCTCTGTAACGTTGGGGCATCCATCTTCAGCCCATAGGCCACAATGTATCTGGAACACTTCTCAGCAAAGCAGGAAATTTCAAACTGTCCATCTGTATCAGCAGTCTGTCAGTCATTTTTCTGTGTCCTGCAGAAAGTCCCGTAGACTCTTTCATGCAGCAGGAACCCTGTAAGACTGAGTTCAGCAGTCACATCCCTATGGGTCCTGCATGTCCAGATTGTACAACAATAGTCAAACAGTCTAGGCAAGAGCAGTTTCTTGCCCAAATAGCTAATCTTGCCATGTTGAAAGCAAACTCCATAACAAGTTTCTTCGATGCCCATCTTCCTCTCAGACGTAATTAGTGCTGCCAGGAGCAGACATTTCTCATTGTCAAGAAAATCCCTAAACCATTTTAAATGCCATTTTCTGAAGGTCTTTGAGAGGTTTGAAGACTGTTTATCTGTCTGAAATACATTTCTATCTATCTAGAAAACCTAACTTACCTAACTATAAGTTCTGACTATTATAAGTAACTTCTATAATCTGTATTTAATTATGCATTACATTCTAAAAGATCAGTATAAGCACAATACTTAATCAAGAGGAGAAATATACATATCACAAAATTGCCCTTGAATTTGTATTAATAAATGAAAAACAATACCCATACCATAATTCCCCTTTTTACCATTAAAAGGAGATTGGTTGTGATCATTAACCAATTATAAACAATCCCATTTAAATGAAAACAAAGATTTATAAACAAGATGGGAATTAGGACGTCGCTCATTTCAAACTGCTTCCTGCTGGAAGGGGGTGCTGTTCATACCATGGGGATCATGACAAAACTCAGAAACCTGTATAAGTCCGTATTTTCGGGGTCTGTAAGACTGCATCATCTTAGCTGTTTCAATTGTTGGAACATCTGATCCACTGCTTCCGGGGGTCTTGGTTCGTGAAACCACAGAAGCCTGGAAGGAATTCTCAGCTTTTCATTTTCTGTAGAAACATAAGCAAATTCTCCTTTTCCAAGTAACATATCCTTATACTTAAATTTTGAAGTCAAGGCATTTTCAAAAGATAGAAGTTGGATTAATTTAGCAGCATTTATAATCAAGTGTACTTTAGTAGCAGTTCCTTCCTGAGCAAGCAAAAAACTGAAAAACACAATAGCATACAGTATCCAGACTCTCTGTGTATTTTCCATCTTTATGTGGCTTGTTTATTTATCTATTATTACTTTATTTATTTCACTTTTATTTTTCTTTGAGACAGGATTTCTCTTTGGAAATCTGCCTGCCTCTGCCTCTGGAGTAAGTCCTACCAGCATGTGCCACCACAACGCCGGCTTTTGTATTTATATCCACTTTGTCGTTTCATTTTCTCTCTCAATCTCACGTATATTTTTAAACACACTGTAAACCTTTAGAAGTTTTTCTTTATCCAAGTCTGACTTTACTGTAAATCTTTATGTTTTTCTGGCCACGTGTTTTATCTGTAAAACCGCGGCTGTTTTAAACTGCCGGTTTTTCCGTCAAGATGGCGGGCGTAAGCGTGACTTCAGCTTACCGCCTCAGTCCATGCTGACCTCCAGCAAAAGCTGCCACTTCCAGCTGTACGTACACACCTTTCAATCGGTAGCAGAGTCTCTTAAAACAACCTTGCTGGTTTTTTTTTTTTCTTTTTATGCTGAGTCAGGAAGACTCCGGTAAGCGAGCCACGTGAATCTCGGCTTGTGGCTAGCAAAACAGAGCACACCTGAGAAAATGCTGCTACCAAAATCTGTGCTTCTCTCCGTTCTTCTGTTTCTAAAATTCCTTTAAAGCTTTTGCCATTCTGCGTGGAAATTCATGATCCCACTCCTGATCACCATTCTGTTAAGAGAAGCTTTTTCTTTGCTAGCCGCTTTGGTTTATCCCCCCGCCAGTCGCCTGGGCTTTGCCGCGCCAGCCTGGTTCTAGATCCGCATCAGTCCCAAATAAACACACAGGAGGCTATATTAATTATGAAGC